TGTTTTGGGCTTTTTTACAGACGCAGTGCCCTCTTCAGTTTGTCCAAAAAACGGCGTGAAAGCTTCAGTTCCCTGACGGATACAAAGTCCACTGGCGGAGTGATCACCCGTCTGCGTTCCTCGGCTCAGCTCACCTACGAGGTGATGAAGAGGGCTGTTCGACGACGATCACAGACGGCCCTCTCCTCCTGCGGCGGAGGACGTTCGCCTCACCAGCGGTCAGACGTGGAGCCGACTGCAGCCGCGGCGGCGGCTACAGATGACGAAAGACTCAGTTTTTGACGACTTGATCTCGTCTCTCTCTTTTTTGTTCTTTTCTGCCGTTCGCTCGCTCGGCTTTGCTTTCATTTTTGTTGCTCTAGAAATGGTGTCGTTATGCTGTATAGTCTTTATTCTTTCCCCAGCCCCCGAGAACAAGAAATCCTATCACTTACATTCACTTTTCCCTAGTTACCAGGGGATTGGTTAGATTGGCCGCGTATAGTCTGTTGGGTTCGTTTATGACAATGTACGGGCGAAGTTGGCGGCTTCTACTTTTGCTATCATCTCTACAGGATACCTGTTCGAACTCCCCTTGCTTAATTTATGAGTAAGGTAGAAGTGCAACACTCCAAATATGAAACCTCATCTAGATTATAAAATCATATTACCCGCGTCAGGCTAAAATGATGTTACATCATTAATAGTGTGAAATTTGGGTGAATAAGGTCCGTTTCTTGAGGGACGCAGGAATAGCAGTTGGGGTAAGCGTTAATGAGGAGCTAAATGGAGACGCATTAATTATCGGCCACTGCGCCAAACATCGTCTCCACCTGTTTTCACATAGTCTTGCCATTTGACTACGCTGGGTGCGAAGAGATGGATAGAGAAATTAATCCATACTATAATCCAAATCAAATGTAGATCACCGGAGCCTCCTGGCATCGGGGGTTCTCATGGGGCACACCTGCCTAGTCGTCGATTGCGAACTCGTGAAGTCTCCTTTCTGATCATATAGCTAAGAGACCTGGTTTCTTGAAAAGGCAAGTGCGTACAGAACAGCCTCGGTTGACGGGAGGTAGATGCTAGTGCTCATCGTCTTCGCCTATTTATGTGTGCATTAATATTACATGGAAACGCACAACCATGGCCGATTCATCTCAACAGGATTACTTGGACTAATATTTTTGGTCTTGAGCCTTGTCTTCCGCCCAACAGACTACTGAGTTGTTCATCTCCCTATATCAGGCTTCAGAACCCAGGCGGTCAGATAAGTCTGATTGCCATCTTCAACTTGTTAGTTGGGATGATCTTAAGGAGACACAGTTATGTACTAGAGCTGTGAAATTATGACTTCTTTTCGGCATTTAAAGGGACCTTATTCTTCGCGCGATGATAAGCAGCTTGACTCACAAAGGTGATTTCGCTACGCCAGCGTGAAGATGACTCACTGTAGTAGTACCTCGTCTTGATCTCGAAATCGCTGCACTCCCAGCCAATGATGACTAATCAGTAGAAGACTGATAGTAGCCTGACAAGGGCTCTTACCCGACTTCCGTTTTCGTGGCCATAGGTCGGCATATGATTAGTTGCCAAATAGGAAATTGCTCCTTCAGTCTACTCAACCTTATCGGCAAGCTCCTTCTGAGCGTTAATCAGTCCTCGCCTAGTAATCACTCATCGGAGCCTCTATGGCCTTCGTTTTGCAACTCGGATCTATCAGCCAACTGCATTCCCACGCAAAGAGGTATATGCGCAATCTTTGGCACCGCATTTTGATTTGTGGCTCAACGACAAGGCCCATCTATCAGTTTACTTTAAGGCTAACACGAGTTATGCTGTAACTGCGCTGGCCCAATATGGGGGTAGATCAGGGCAGGAGAGACATCGGTTAGGGCTGCGCACACATGATACTTACCACACAGTGAATGGGAGCGGTAGCACACCTAGGTGCCGGCTAAATTCACGCCAGCCACGCTTTCTTATTCGGTCTGGTGTTCGACAAGGCTGTGTCCTGTCACCTATCCGCTTCAACTACGCCATTTACGTGGTTCTCGGGAAGGTCCTGCGGGAAAATGACGGTATTGAGCTTGCACCCGGACGCCGGTTGACTGACCTCGACTATGCCGATGATATCGCTTTACTAGCTTCAATCTTTGACGATCTACAGTCTATGATGTTACGGATGAACAAGGTCCCGAAATTAGTCGTTTTGTCCATAAACGCTGGGAAGACCAATGTGTTTGCAGGTTGCATCCCTGCCCAAGAGAAGGCCCCTTTCGAGATTATTTGCTGTCACTTTAAAGAAGTAGACAGTTTCAAATACCTCGGAGCGAGGTTTCTGTCGAATAGACAGAGTAAGAGTGACATCGTCTCTCGAAATGACGCAGCTCGATGAGTTTTCTCCAGCCTTCGAAAATGCCTATGGACCTGACGCGATATTTATATCTCCACAAAGGTCCGCGTGTACCGTACATCTGTGCAGTCTGTTCGTCTACATGTATGCGAATGCTAGGCTATGCATGCGGGAGATGAACGGAAACTGGAAGTATTTGATCATTACTGCTTGAGGAACATCCTTCGAGTGAAGTACATCGACTTCGTCTCAAATGAGACAGTCCACACTTGCTGCGACAACGTTGCAAAGATATCCCAGGCAATCAATGAAAGACGACTGAGCTGGTTTGGACGCGTTCTTCGCCTCACGAGCTCAGTGTTACTGCCCTCGACCCGAATCCGGTACCTAATTGGAAACGTCGAGGTGGGGGTCAACTAAAAACCTAGCTCGAATCAGTCCGTCAGGACATGAAAGTGGTTTCTGGAGCTTCGGTATTCGGTCTCCGACGCTGACGAAGAGAATGGCTGGAACTGTCCTGGTCTGCTGCCACGGATCGTCGTGCGTGGAGAAGCACCGTACGAGATATCATCAAGGCTGGCTAAATCAGTCATGATCGCAGCCGTAACAAGTACAAGTAAGCCATCTGTGCCCGATCCCGCCTCTGAATTCCTGACTGTGTCCGGTGGGTGACGAAGTCGGGAGCGCGGTAGATGCGGAACTCCTCTGGGTTCCCCATAATTCATGTGGAAATACTCGTCCCTGCGTCCACACTGCTGTGGGGCACATGGTGGACTTAATCCGAGTCGACGATCGAACTGTCGACTTTAACCTGACCGACTGGCGACAGCAAGCAAGCCGTAAGTTAGC